CTATATAGGGATGGCCGGTTCACTCACTAGCTGAACGTGGTGCTGACAACACCAAGCCAAGGGTTAAGATCCCCTTACCAGTCATCTTTTTAAAAAATTAAAATAAAATAAAATAAAGTTGAAGTCAGAGGAGTGGTAGCATTACTATTTGTGTTTCAGAAAGGTCACTCTGAGGGCCGGCCCATGGCTCACTTGGGAGAGCGTGGTGCTGACAACACCAAGCCAAGGGTTAAGATCCCCTTACCGGTCATCTTTTGAAAAAAAAAAAAAAAAAGTTGAAGTCAAGGGCCAGCCCGTGACTCACTTGGGAGAGTGTGGTGCTGATAACACCAAGGCCATGGGTTCAGATCCCTATATAGGGATGGCCGGTTCGCTCACTAGCTGAACGTGATGCTGACAACACCAAGCCAAGGGTTAAGATCCCCTTACCAGTCATCTTTTTAAAAAATTAAAATAAAATAAAATAAAGTTGAAGTCAGAGGAGTGGTAGCACTACTATTTGTGTTTCAGAAAGGTCACTCTGAGGGCCGGCCCATGGCTCACTTGGGAGAGTGTGGTGCTGACAACACCAAGTCAAGGGTTAAAATCCCCTTACTGGTCATCTATTTAAAAAAAGAAAATAAAGGTCACTCTGGCTTCTGTGCCAGGAATGCACAGGAAAGCAGAACTATATGCAAGGAGAATAGTTAGAAGGTTATATCATCTAGACTAAAAAGGTGGTAGTTGTAGGGATAAAAAGAAGTAGGAAGACTGGAAAAGCATAAATTGCAGTGTTCTTCAGCTGATTAACAACCTTAATTTAAAAAAAAGAAAAGAAATTGCAGTATTTGGTAACCAATTGAATATGGGTAGTGAGGAAATGAGGAATTAAGGTTGGCTGCCAGGTTTCTGGCATGGGCTATCAGGCACACTCTATGTGCTCCAACAAATGATAGTACTTCCTCTATCATAGTGATTATTATTATCACTCTGTATTTTAAATGTTAAGAGAGGGCAGGGACCACATTTACCATCTTAATTGACCATGCCTAGTACACAGTCCCTGCCTGACATATATGGTAGTAAGCATTCAATAAATAATTTTTTTTCTTTTTTTGAAAGATGACCGTAAGGGGATCTTAACCCTTGACTTGGTGTTGTCAGCACCACGCTCAGCCAGTGAGTGAACCGGCCATCCCTATATAGGATCCGAACCCGCAACCTTGGCGTTATCAGCACCGCAATCTCCTGAGTGAGCCACGGGCCGGCCCTTCAATGAATACTTATTGAATTTATCGACACAGCACTCTAAACAACTGAGCTAACTGGAAAACCTTTTTTTTTTTTTTTGGTGGCTGGCTGGTGTGGAACTTATTGAATTTAAATTTAACTGAATAGTGATACTGGAAGAGAAATGGGTTCATGGGGAAAACTGACAAGATCAGCTTAGTACATACCGACTTTGTGGTACCTGTGAAATACCCAAGGGGAGTTTTTCAGTAGAGAGTGGGTGAGACTGGAGCCAGAGAAAGATCTAGACTGGAGATATGGTACTTAGCAGCATATGAAGGTTATTTGAGCTGGGGAGAGAACAAGACCACCCAAGGATAGTGTGTAGAGTGCAAAGGGCACAGGATCACAGATAGACTTCTAAGATTTAAGGAATAGACAGAGGAAGGTCCTTCCTTATGCCACAGAAAAGGAGCTGCTAGAAAGGTAAGAGGGCCACCAGCTGAATGTTTGTAGAAAGAAAGAAAGGTCAATGGTGTTGCATACAGCTGAGATGTCAAGCCACATAAGAACTACAAAGTGTGCATGCAAGGTCAGGGATGACCCTAGTGAGGAGTGACCCTAGGCTGGGGAGTGAGGGGAGAGGAAATGAAGACCCGTATGTATAGGCAACTCTTTCAAGAAGTTTGACTGTTAAGAAGGAAGAGAGAGAGACACCAGGTAGTAACTGGAGAGCCCAGTATGGAGAGGCTTGTCTGAAGATGGGAGAGACTTCTTAGATACATTTGAAAATGAATGGGAATGGGGCCGGCCCCTGGCTCACTCGGGAGAGTGTGGTGCTGACAACACCAAGGCCACGAGTTCGGATCCCATATAGGGATGGCTGGTTAGCTCACTTGGGAGAGCGTGGTGCTGACACACCAAGTCAAGGGTTAAGATCCCCTTACCCGTCATCTTTTAAAAGAAAAAAAAGAAAATGACTTGGAAGGAGTCAGTAAGAGAGAGCTTTGAAGAAGGCAGAAGAGGATGGGATTTACTTAACAAACACCAGGTGAATGAATGAATGGATGAAGTTAGTCACCATTTTGGAAGTGGGAAGGAAGAGCTGAGGGGTAGGTTTCTCCATGTGTTAAAAGTGGAGCAAACTGAGGAAGAAGGTCACTAAGGAAGAAGGTCACTGAGGCAGAACCCAGTACTGTCCACCCAGCCCTCAGATCACATATCAGGGGAGGAGAGCTGGCTCTCTCATGTCACCAGTGGGGAGGGACACTCACATCCCACCTCTCCAGATGCAAACAGAAAGCATCACTTTTGGGCTGGCCCGTGGCTCACTTGGAACACCAAGGCCGCGGGTTCGGATCTCTATATAGGGATGGCCGGTTGCTCACTTGGGAGAGCGTGGTGCTGACAACACCAAGTCAAGGGTTAAGATCCTCTTACTGGTCATCTTTTGGAAAAAAAAAAAAGAAAGAAAGAAAGCCTCACATTATACAGTGGAAAAACTGAAAGAAGGGGAAAAGCGCGTTGGTCAGGTAAGAAGGAAGGTTTTAAAGTGCTGGCAATCCCTGGGGTCAGTTCCCACCTTCCACCAGGGAGAAGCTGACATCGGTCCCCTCATCATCTGTCATACTATCATGTACTACTTTTCCATATCCCTGATTCAATCGTAATTAAAAATTTTACTGTGTCATTAGTTAAGATCTGTCTCTCCTTAAGAAGCTCCAAGAGGGTTCATTCCCTTCTCTTATCTCCAGTGCCTAATACTGCTTCTTGTACATAGGAGGTGCTCAATCCTTGTTGAGTGTGAATGAATGAAGCCACACACTAAAGTAGGGTACCATCTCAAGAGACTTATGTAAGGATTATATCAAAGCTTCTCAGCTCCCAAAATGTGTCTTGGATTGGGAGAATGATGATATGTCCACTCTGGACCTCTCTGTGTTTCTCCCAGCCCCTTTGTGTTTCTCTCTGATTTGGTCTTACTATTTTTCTGGCTCTCTGTTTCTCTGTCTCTGTGTCTCTCTGAGTCTGCACAGGAAACATGCAGCTTTAGGTCTGAGGTGATTGGTAACGGAAACATTGATGCTTGTGCAAATTTTATAAAGGGTCACAAACTTCTTTTTCTTTGTCATTACCTCCTGTCTCTTTCCCTGTGTTTCTGACTCAGACCTGATTCTTTCTCCTTATTTCCTTCCTGTGTCCAGCTCAAGATTCCCACCACCACCAAGGAACAACTCCTCCTGCCTCTGGATCTTCTGATGGGCCCCACAAGGTATTTGGCAGAAAATTACCAAGCTAGGTCATCTCCTCTGATTTCCTGCCTTGCCGGCCAGGCAGCCCTGGCTGACCACATCCTCTCTCATCTTACTTATGTACTTCCTCACCAGACACAACACCCAGGAGTTCTCAGCCCCCAAAACCTGTAACTGATCCCCACCCAGGCCCTCTGCTTTACCCTCTCCTCTCACCTGATGGTTCCTGTCCTTACCTCCCCCCAATACTGATCTTAGAGCCATGTCTCTCTGCCTGGAGGCAGCCAGTCCCATTTCCTTTTGGATCTCCAATGCTCCCTTTTCCCACAGGTGACAGTACTTACTACAATGCTATCAGGCAGGTGGTGGCCAAGTACCTGGGGGAGCCTAGGGCTGAGGCCCCAAAGTCCTTCTCAGGGATCCCAGCTCTGTGCCCTCTATGCCTTTACCTACACTGGGGCAGATGGCCGGCAGGTATGTCTGGCTGAAGGGGACAGATTCCTACTGCTTCGAAAGACCAACTCAGACTGGTGGTTGGCAAGGCGCCTTGGTGCACCTTCTACCTCCCGACCCATCTTTGTCCCAGCTGCCTACATGATTGAGGAATGTATCCCTTCCCAAAGCCCAACTACCATCACCTGCAGCCAATCCCTCTGGAGTCCTGGTGAGTAAGCCCTAAACTCTCCCCCATCACCTTCCTACCTCCCTGGCTTCTGGGAATTACCAGGAGGATCCCCATTCTTTAACCTTCTGCTGACCTCCTTTCCTTATTTTGCTCTGATCAGCCTAACCCCATCCCACCGTGTTGTTCCCATCCCATCACCTCTCCTCCTAGTCCCAAGCCTTCCAGGTCATGTCATTTTCCACAGCTTCCCTCCACCCTCCTGTCTTTTCTGTGAGCTTCCAGGATGGGGGATCCAGCCAACATCATGCCTCTGATCACCTGCCCCCCCCCTCTCCATATTTCTATTTCCAGGGCCAAAGTCGTTTCAGGGCTCTCCAGAGGAGCTGCACCTGTCTCAGGCATCCCCAAACAGACCCCAGGCTACATCCAAGCAGCCTCCCCCTCTGCCACCCAAAATGTGTAGAAGTGTCAGTGTTGCCAATTTGAGGCCCAGCCTCCTGAAGCCCGGGATCCAGCCAACATCATGCCTGTGATCACCTGCCCCCCCCCTCTCCATATTTCTATTTCCAGGGCCAAAGTCGTTTCAGGGCTCTCCAGAGGAGCTGCACCTGTCTCAGGCATCCCCAAACAGACCCCAGGCTACATCCAAGCAGCCTCCCCCTCTGCCACCCAAAATGTGTAGAAGTGTCAGTGTTGCCAATTTGAGGCCCAGCCTCCTGAAGCCCCTTCAGGAAGGACCAAGTGGAAGATCCGTCTCCCAGGAAGACTTGCTGACAGAGGCCAATGCCAACATGGTGAGTCACACCTCTTCTACTTGAGCACGGTTAGTCAGCAAATTTTTGCTGCTGGGCCCTGTTCTAGGCACAACGGCAAACAGAACAGACAACATCCCAGGACAGACAACATCCCAGCCCTCAGAGACTCCCTGGGGGTAACAAACAAATAAACAAATAAGCAAGATAATCCTGGATAGTGATAAGCACGACAAAGAAGAGTAAATGTGGTGGTCTGGGAAGGCATTTCTGAGGAGGTGGTATTTAGTTGAATCTGAAGGAGGAAGAGGCAGCCTTAAGGCAAACTAGATGAGAAGAGACAGCAGTAGCAAAGGCCGTGAGGGGACAGGGAACCTGGCACAATAGAGGGACTGAAAGAAGACCAACCCACTATGCTTTTTCTCTCTTCCTCCTGCTAGCCTGGGGCAGGGTTTTTTTCTGTATCCAGTCTTGCCTGCTAGGTCACCAGCAAGTCCTCTATGGAGATGTAACTCCCTTGTTCAGCCCTTCCCCTCTTTCTTTCTAACTAGTGGATGGAAAATGGCCCCTCCTCCCTCATACAGAGGGGTCTCTGACCCCTCTCTTCCTTTACCCTGCAGGATGTGAGGGTGGGGTACTCCCCCAACCCCCCACCCACAAAAAGCCTGTTCCCCTTTCCTGCGGCCATGGGATGGGGGTGGGGTGGGGGAGGAGGGAAGTTGGCAACAGGAAGTGAGGAGAAAAGCAAAGACTGTGAGGGAAAGAATTTTTAAAAAGCATCTGGGGACTGGGGTTTCTCCCCCAGAACCTGGGTCACCCCAGCCAGGAGCTGGTGGTGAGAAAATGGTGGGGGACGGAGGAGGAGGGGTAAGGGGGAGAGAAGATTGAGGGCACAGGTAGAATAACTACCTCCTTCTTCCTTCTTTCCTGGCAGGCAGGACCCCAGCCCCTCATGTCAGAGTCTCCTGTGTACTGTAACCTGGTGGACCTTCGCCGCTGTCCCCGGTCCCCGCCCCCAGGCCCTGCATGCCCTCCACTGCAGAGGCTGGATGCCTGGGAGCAGCACCTGGACCTCAGCTCCGGACGCTGCTTCTACGTACATTCGCTGACGGGCTGCAAGTCCTGGAAGCCACCGCGCCGCAGTCGCACCCTAGAGACGGTGAGACCTTCCCTCTTGCTTGTCCCATTGTCCCCTCGATCTCCTCCTTCTCCCTACTGAGCCCCAGGGTTTTCTCTCTGAGACGCTCAGAAGATCAGAAGAATCAGCAAATTGTGAGAAGGGGGTTGAAGTGCTATCTGAATGTAGCTTTATCTCCCCCTTCCCTAACCCAGAACTCTGGCTCCATGGAGGGGACACAGACCTTGAGTAGGGACAACGGTGTCCTGCAACCTCAAACAAAGGGCTCAGGATCTGACACAGGGACCCCAGAACTGCTCAATCCACAGGTGAGATCCCCCCCACCTCCCAATCACATGCAGAAAAAGCCAACTTTTTAGGACTGTCTCTTTTATCAAGACATTCTTCATTACCCATCACACCCCCTGCCTCTTACCCACATCCGCACCCCTCTTCTTCCTACAGCCAGTGACCCCGAAGTTGAAGGTTCCCCCATTTGTTTTTCCAACCCCTTTCCCCAGGGCTCCCCCTGCCTCAGCCAGCACACTTCCCACCTTGCCGCCTCAGACCAGCCTCCAGACTCGCAGCCCCCTCGACCTCTGCCGCAGCTCCTGGACGACCCCCATGTGAGTTTCCCATTCCCTTGCGAAGGCAATTCCTCCCTGCCGCAACCCCAGTTCCTGCTCCTCAAAAACATCTTCCTCTTTGTATGTATCCTCCCTTACCCACCCCACCCCCCAGCTTTAAGGGACCTCACCCTAGGGAAAGCTGTGGCCACTGTGGAGGGTACAACGTGACTTACAGACACCACTCCCTCCCCTTCCCAGGAGGTGGAAAAGTCGGGCCTGCTCAACATGACCAAAATTGCCCAGGGGGGGCGCAAGATCAGGTGAGGAAAGCCGGGAGTACAGCGGGGGGGCCTAGGCTGTTGTATTGCGTAGGGTAGAGCAGAGTGTTGGGAGAGCGCCCTCCCCACGTAATGCTAGAGTGACTTTTTCACTACTAACACTGCCCTCCCACCTCCCCCGCAGGAAGAACTGGGGCCCATCTTGGGTCGTGTTAGCAGGTAACAGCCTGGTGTTCTACCGAGAGCCACCGCAGGCTGTGCCCTCCTCCGGCTGGGTGAGTGTGAGAGAGGGGTGCAGGGGGGTTGGGGCGCAACTTCTTCCCACCTCAGGCCGATGGAGGGGGCGGAGGCGTGGAGGTCCGAGTAGAGGAAGGTGAAGGAATGATGGAGGCTGCTACCTCCTCGCAGCCCACCGGGTGAGAGGGCAGCAGTGAGGGAAGCACCGTGGCCTCAGTTTCTCTCCTAATTACCAGGGGCCACTGGGTAGCCGGCCGGAAAGTAGCGTGGACCTGCGCGGGGCGGCCCTGGCGCACGGCCGCCACCTGTCCAGCCGCCGCAACGTCCTGCACGTGAGTGCTCTCCCGCGCGTCCCCAAAGCCCCACCCGCTCCGAGGGCCTCCCGCTCGACCTCCCTGCTTTTTAATGCGACTCCCTGCTGACCCAAGCCTTTTCCCGCCGGCCCCTCAGATCCGCACGGTCCCTGGCCACGAGTTCCTGCTGCAATCGGACCACGAGACCGAGCTGCGAGCCTGGCACCGAGCTCTGCGGGCGGTCATCGAGCGGCTGGTTAGACGGGTGGGAGACCCGGGTAGGAACCGCAGGAGACGGGGCGGTGGGGGGCAGGGTGGTCTCGGTGTAGAGCCCTGGCCTGGGGTAGAGCTGGGACCTGGGACTCCAGCAGCAGTTTATGATCTCCTTGCTTCGAGCCAAAGGTGCAGATTTCTCTCCTCTCTCTTCCAACCTCCGACACGGCCCACCCCGTCCACCGGGGTCCAGGAGCGGGAGAACCCCCTGGAGCTGCGTCTGTCGGGCTCAGGACCAGCGGAGCTGAGGGAGCTAAGCGCCGGGGAGGACGAAGAAGAGGAGTCGGAGCCGGTGCCCAAGCCGCTGCTGCGCTTTAGCGGCCGCCGGAGCTCCAGTGAGGGGCGTTTCTGGGGAGGGCGGGACCTGGAGCGCGTCCCGGCTCCGCCGCCGCGCCACGCCTCTCACACTCTGCTCTACCGGCCTCCTACAGGTCGGTGTCCGGAAGGCACTGAGCAGAACCGCGTGCGGAACAAACTAAAGCGGCTGATCGCCAAGAGACCGCCCTTGCAAAGCCTGCAGGAGCGGGGTCTGCTCCGAGGTGAGGGGAGCTGGGCCAGCTGGGGCCCTGCTCTTTTGTGCCTGCTTTAGTGTTTGCGAGCACGTTTACATTCCTGCTCTCCGCATCAGCCCTTTCATGGATGATAAAGCTCCAGCGAGGCTCAGAGAAGAGCTTCCCAGAACTAGATCACAACCTTCTGCTACCACTGCTTTTCCCACTAATCCAAATTGGTTGGGGGGTGTGAGGAGAGGTGTACCTCCTTGCCCACGACTGGCACAGGCAAACAGGAGGGCCAGCCCCACTTGGGGGTGAAGATTTGTGCTGAGAAGAGTTTCCATGAATGACGCTGGCTTCCCACTCACTCTGCCTCCCCAGACCAGGTGTTCGGCTGCCAGTTGGAATCACTGTGCCAGCGGGAAGATGACACAGTGCCCAGCTTTGTGAGGCTCTGCATTGCTGCTGTGGATAAAAGAGGTCATTCTCCCATAGACCCTAGAATCTCCCCTTCCAACAGGCCAAGGCCTAGAATTCCCCACCTCCCACATCTTAGTCTTCCTATTGCCCTTTTCCTCTCCACTGTCAGATCCCTCGTCCCCATACTGTAGAGCAGGACCCCTAATCTGCTCCCTTCCACCTCTCCTAGGTCTAGATGTGGATGGTATTTACCGAGTGAGTGGGAACTTGGCAGTGGTCCAGAAACTTCGCTTTCTGGTAGACAGAGGTAAGACGATTTGTGGACAAGCGGTGGTATTAGGAAGTTCATGCCTCAGTACCAGGGGTGTTCTGAGTGAGGGAGCTGGCAGAACAGGGAGGCCTTCTGGCTGGAACTGCATGTCTTAGCTCTTGATCTCTCCTTCTACATGTTGCAGAGCGTGCAGTGACCTCCGATGGGAGGTATGTGTTCCCAGAACAGCCAGGACAAGGTATTCACATGCAAGACCCCTGAAACTTCCCCATACTCTCCTTGCTTCCCATCGATTCCCCACGTTCTGCTCCTAGAAGGGCTCTCCCCATCCCCACCTTTGCTGTCTTGCCCCACTGTGTACCCTCTAGGCATTCCTGTGGTCTGCCTTGACTGGATTTCTCCAGAACTCCTGATCTGTCAGTCTCTGGATCCCTTTGGCCCTTTATGAGCCCTGAACCCCCTGTACCTCCTTCTCCCTCCAGAAGGCCGATTAGATTTGGACAGTGCTGAATGGGATGATATTCATGTGGTCACTGGAGCCCTGAAGCTTTTTCTCCGGGAGCTGCCCCAGCCTCTGGTGCCCCCACTGCTGCTGCCCCATTTTCGTGCTGCCCTTGGTAAGGGTTGAGAGCTTTGGGTAAAAAACCCTTGCTATGGGGGGAAATGAGTGATAAAGAATACAGTAGAAGCTCCCTTACACTCTTCTGTCCCTGTCCATAGAGATAGAAAATAATTTTCAACTTGTTTTTTTCCAACTCCAGTTGTTTTTTTGTGAATGTTTAGAGGGCTGAGTTGAAAAGAATTCTGAGGCTGCAATTGGGCCACATGAAAAAGAAAGCTGTGATAGATTAAAGATGTCTTCCATGGGCATGGGAAAGAATATTTACCCACCCTGTACTAGCACCTTCCCTAACCTCACTCCCATGCCCTTCTCATTACTTCTCTTTCTAGCACTCTCTGAATCAGAGCAGCGCCTCTCTCAAATACAAGAATTAATAGGCTCAATGCCAAAGCCCAACCATGACACTCTACGGTACCTCCTGGAACATTTATGCAGGTCAGGAATACTGAACATTTTTGTTCATGCTGGGGCACGGAGAGTGGGACTTGCAGCAGAGATTCTGTTGGCGGGGGGGTGTGAAGGTAGGGAAACACCTAAATTTAGTGGGTAGGTTGAGGAGGCTGGCAACATATTACCAGGGTCAAAGCCTTTGGATAGGACAGCATCAAATGGGAAATGGGACCAAGATAAGCCCAGGGATGCTGTGAGAGAAATAAGGGAAATCTTGCCTTTCCCTTCCTTCTGCTTCTTTGTCTCCCACTGGGGCAGTGGTGATGGCTTGTTTGGCTGAGCTGGGCCTGGGCAGTGACTTCTGAGAGGAGCCATTTGTTTTTGTTTTTTTTAAAAAAAGATGACCGGTAAGGGGATCTCAACCCTTAGCTTGGTGTTGTCAGCACCACGCTCAGCCAGTGAGCCAACCGGCCATCCCTATGTAGGATCCGAACCCGTGGCCTTGGTGTTATCAGCACCGCACTCTCCCGAGTGAGCCACGGGCCGGCCCTGAGAGGAGCCATTTGAATTAAAGCCTCCTAAATTGTGAGCAGAGAGGGATCTAGAGGCAGTCCCTGAAGCTGGCAGTTGTATCACTAGGTTGTATCCTGAAGGTTTCCCCACTGGCCCATCTCCATTCCCCTTGAGGCTCTCTCCTTGGTTTCTTTCAGCCACCACATAGAGGGATCCCAGAGTGAATTCTTCCCTGCCTAAACTTTTGAAGCATTAGATTGATTTGATGTGGCAAGCTGCTGCCTTATGTCCCCTCCCCTTGGCCTTTGCTCACAGGGTGATAGCACACTCAGATAAGAACCGCATGACCCCCCACAACCTGGGAATTGTTTTTGGACCAACCCTGTTTCGGCCAGAACAGGAGACATCTGACCCGGCAGCTCATTCCCTCTACCCTGGGCAGCTAGTCCAGTTGATGCTCACCAACTTCACCAGCCTCTTCCACTGACGTGGGCAAAGAAGAAGAGAAAACGTATTTCCAGTGATCTCTGTTGTGTACCCTCTGGTGATGGGGTTGGTGGTGTTGTTTTGAGGACATCCCTTTAAATCCTGTGTCCCCCAAATGACTTGTCTCCATCTTTGTGAGTCTGACCTGAGGGGTTGGGATGAGGTAAGAGAACTCTAAAGAGGAAAGTTAGTGCATTAACCCCTGCTTCTCTTCTTGTTTCCTGTTATCACCCCTCCCCAAGTTAATAACACCTCAAATATTCTTTCTGATACAGTTCCTTTATTATCAGGAAACAGTGTCATTATCAAATTTCTCCCCAAACCATATACAGACTATATACAGCCCCCAGCCCATTCCTCCCATCTCTGGGGCATCTTACGCAGGGAGGTATGGCTCCTCCCCCTGACTTCTTTGGAATATCCCTTAGGAAAGGCAGATCTGTGGATGGGATTCCTCCTCTTCAGGCACTAGAGTTGAGGAATTGTGTCTCCCCAGGCAGGGATCTCAGTAAGACACTCATGTTGCCCACAGCCATGTTGGGAGGCCCAGAGGGAGATGGGGTGTGTTCAGAGATAACCTCCTGATCATGGGAATGGGGAGGGCTCAGCCCCTGGGCCTCATCCAGAATAGCCACAAAGTCCAGCTGAGTGTTGTCAAGATCAAGAGAGTCCAGAGGGTTACACACCTGCCCTTCGGGAGGAGGGTACAAGGCAGGACCCCCTCCCAGCCTGCCCACCTCAGGATGGCCACAGCTGGGGTTGGTGCCACCTGCCTTGAGGGGCCCATAGCAAGTGGGCAATGGGGGCAGAAGTCGGGGTGGTGCTGCTGCCCTATGGCAAGCCCTGTTTGCCCCCACAAAATTTTCATGGCATGGTGATGGGGTGGGATAGGAGCCTGACTTGTGATTGGACAAGTTGGGTGCAAAGCCAGGTCCATATGTGGCCACTGGGGCCTTGGCAGGGCCTGGGCTAACCTGGGAACCCCCTAGGAACTTGGGACTCTGGTAGGGAGGTTCCTGGACTGGGGCATCTGCCCTGCCCTCAGCTTCCCACAGTAGGTCCTGTTGAGACTGAACATAATTACACACAAGCTGAGCCTTGAGCTGTCCTGTGGAATGAGTAGGGGAATCAAAATCCAGGCCAGGCCTGAGTTCTGAAGGGAGATAATCATGGGGTGGCTGGGTGTAGGGGCCTGACTGGGGATATTGGGGAGGAGGGTGTTGGGGGTAGTGGGAGAATAGAGGCTGTGGGCGAGGAGGCCCTTCATTGGTATGGGTATTGAGGCAGGGTGCCAGTCCTGTGGAGTCAGACCCCACTGGGCACCCCTGTTCCGGCTTGACCTGCACTTGTCCATAATGTTCAAGTCGAGGACACTGGCTATAGCCTCCACCTGGAGTCTTGGGGCCTGGGTATAGACCCGAGTGGGAAGGGAACTCACCCCATGTTTCTGGGTTGGGGTCAGGATAGGAGATCTGCTGGGGACAGGGGTTGGGGCCATAGTTGGTGGGTGGACCAGGCCCAAGAGGCAGGGAGCCTGGACCCCTAGTTACATAAGGCTCAGCTGCTGCTCCCTCAGGTCCCCCATATCCTAGAGTATCAGCAGGTGGGAATTCCACATAGGGGATGAGATCACTACCCATCATGGAGGCCCCAACCTCTGGCTCCTCTCGTAGCCCTCTGGTGTCCATAGCAACATTCTCAGTGATGCTGGGGGGCTGTGGTGAATAGACAGAGGTTGGGAGGTGAGGATCAAAGTTCTGACCTCCCTCTGCCACAGTGGGGGGTGTGTGGACACAACCCAGGCTCTTGAACCGCTGGACTCTGGCTGGAGCAGGGCGGTCAGCAGCCCGGGCTGGGTCACTGGCCCTCCGGGTGACCCCTGCATTGGGGTTGTATCCTGGATACTCAGCTCGGCTTCTCCAAGGAGGTACAGGAGGACCTCCCATCCGATCCAGGACAGGTGCTACAGTGGGTGGAGTACCACCCCCCCTGGCTGAAGCACATCTTGCCCGGAGCAGGTAGTGCTGGGCAGGTGTGAGGCCAGGCAGGGAGGATGCCCCATTCTCTGGTGGGGATCCAGGGGGGAAAGGCGAAGCCAGGGAGGAGCGGCGGCTAACAGTATAGGCAGAGCTGATGCTGCTGGAGCTGCTGCTGCGGCGGTCAAGAGAGGCTGGTGGGCCCAGGCGGCGGGACACAGGGGTGCCTGCAAGTGACAGGGAGAGAAGGCAGGGTAGCCAGGGAGCCCCCTGAATCTCACCCTGCCTCCCCCATGGGACAACCTTGTCCTAGAGTCCCAGGGACAGGGTCCTTAACCATAAATCACTCAGTGCTCTATCTCCTACTGCTCCCATGCCTATTCTGCTTCTGGGTTACTGGGTATTCAGGGCCACTGTGAACAGTTGTATAGGTTGTACACTGCACAATCCCAGGGGACAGCATTCACATCAGAGACCTTGTATATATTTTTTTCACAACAATTTTCTGATAGAAGGAAATTTTCTTGAGGAAGGAGGACCTTTTTCTTTTTTCTTTTTTTTATAAGATGACCAGTAAGGGGATCTTAACCCTTGACTTGGTGTTATCAGCACCACACTCTTCCAAGTGAGCCGTGGGCTGGCCCAAGGGGAACCTTTTTCTAATTGTATAAAGGTGCCATATGGCAGTCCTGAAGGGTGACCTCCTCCTTCCAACCTCAAGGCAGGTTCAGATCTCAGCCCAGCAACATGTCTTACCAGTGTGGGTCAAGCTGGGCAGTTTGAGCCCCCGGGGCCCTCCTGGCCGGAGCTGATGCAACTGGTCCAGCCTGAGGTTCTCAAGGCGGCGAAGAGTGGACAGACCAGTGCCAGCAACGCAAGGCCCCTCATCCAAGCTGGACAGGTCCTCAGTGCTGCCCCCTGCATTGCCAGTCATTTCCACACCGCTGTCTGTATTGGCCGCGCTGCCTGCCGGGGAGTGGTCGCTGCTGCAGGATGACTGAGCCCCAGGGCTTGGCTGTGGCTTCTGTGGGGAAGATGTGGGCTGAGGGCGATACTCTTCCCACTTCCCCACAGCTCCCCTGACTTGGTGAGTGGCCGAAGCCTGTGTCCAGTGTCTTCTGGGGCTGAGAGAAAGCTTACAAGTGTAGAGAGGGCTGAGCGGGTAAGAGACTTGGGGCAAACTGGAAGAGAGGTGTTTTATGAGAAGAGCCTAGGCTGAGCACAGACTACCTGGGCTCAAATTCTTGCTATTAGTTCTGCGACCTTGGGCAATTTCTCTGTGGCTGAGTTTCCTCATCTGGAAATGGGGAGAATAAGTTACTTTCTCATGAAGTTGTTGTAAGGAGTACATGACATTATGTATGCAAAAGGCTTGAAACAATACAGTAAGTGCTATTTAAGAAACAGCTTGTTGAACCAATTAAATAATTAACAACACTAAAATCCCTAGATTTTGGGTAGCCCAAGAAGCAACACTGGAACAATGACAGGACTGATGGCTGCAGAAGAGTGATTTGTATAGGTGGGATGGATGGGTTGGAAAGAGATTAGAAAGAAGCCAGCAGGGCAGGCTGGGGTATGGAGGCAGGGGACTGCCTGGGCTGTCTCACCGTGGCACCCTCTGGCACGGTCAGCCTGCTCTCGTCCCTGATGGGGCCTCCATCGTGCTCTCTCTTGGGCTCCACTGTGGAAAGGGACTGTGCCCGGGGCAGGGGGCCATCGCCTCGGTGCCGCTTGGTCACATGAGCATCAGGACCATGAACTGTCTTGACATGTTTTCGAAGTGAGCTGGGATCTGTATAGCGTTTGGTGCAGCCAGGGAGCTTACACACATATGGCTTCTGTGGAGCAGAGAGTGAAGATTGAAGGCAAAGGGATCGAAGCAGAAAAATGCAGAAGTAGGGCCGGCCCGTGGCTCACTCGGGAGAGTGCGGTGCTGATAACACCAAGGCCCCGGGTTCGGATCCCACATAGGGATGGCCGGTTCGCTCACTGGCTGAGCGTGGTGCTGACAACACCAAGTCAAGGGTTAAGATCCCCTTACCGGTCATCTTTTAAAAAAAAAAAAGAAAAATGCAGAAGTAATGGGAAAAAGGTGGTGGCGACAAGGCGGCATAAAGGAAGAACACACAGCACCCAAGGAAGTAAGGGGGTGGAGGCCCTTGTGTAATAGTAACAGATGAGGGGAAGGGATTAAGGGGAAGATTAGGAAAACTGACAGCCCAGGCCTGGGAAAGATGAAGTTAACCAGGGCTGAAAGGCCTCATAAATTCAGGAGTTGGAGGTGTCAGGGGTCTCCTGTAGACTGGGTCTATTTTAGTTAATTCTTGGCTGGTTAGAGATAGGAGGAGGAGTGGCAAGTGAAAATTCTTGGTTTCAGAAACGCCTTCTCTGGGTGAGTTATACAGGGAGGCGGGGACTCACCTCTGTGGAGTGGGTGCCGGGCTAAGGGATTTCTTACGGGGAAATCTCCTTGGTAGGTAGCTTCTCAAGTGGGGAGGGGCATTCACCTCATTGGAGTGGGTCCGATTCTGGTGCTTGGCTCGGTCACTGGCATTGCTGAAAGCTTTACTGCAGCCCTCATGCTCACACATGTATGGCTTTTCACCTGTGTGTGACCGCAGGTGCGTCTTCAGGTTTTCAAGGCGTGAGTATGACTTCCGGCACCCTTCAAACTGGGGGACATGGGAGAGGGTCAAAGGATAGCTCTTAGACAGAAGATATGGAGATTAAAAGATATGGAATCCTAAATCTCAAAAGAGACATTCATCAGAGAATAGAACTCAAGATGGGAGGGATTGGGGCTTCAAGAAAATTCCCAACATTAGGAGACATGGGCAGGCAAGAGCTAGGGGAAGAGAAGCAGCTGGAGGCACTCTGCCTTTGGAGACATGGAGATGAGGAAATGTGATCTCCTGGTCAAGCCAGAGCAGATCTTGCATGGGGATCATAGACTCTCCTAGGATGGGGTGTCCTGGGCAACAGGCTTATGTCCTTGATGCAGGGCTTACCCATTAGACAGAGTTAGTAGGCACAGTACTGAGAGCCCACAATACTTTAAGGGGCCCATGGACATGTTTTAATTTCTGTTCAAACTTAGGAAAGAAATGAGCTTTTATGTCCAAGAAAATGTCTTAACATATAGCAATATATTAATTATATTAGCACAGTAATAAAAATATGACTTTTAATTTTTTTTTTTTTTTTTGTCCTTTTTGAGACCAGCCGCACTGCGCTCAGCCAGTGAGCACTGTGAGCACACCGGTCATCCCTATATAGGATCCGAACCCTCGGC